TCCGCCGCGTTCCGGCTGAAAAAAAGCCCTGCTTGGGATAGATAATGACCTTAGACAGTAGATACAAATGAGGCATTTTCTATGAAAGATAAGAGAGAGAAACCTTCCATAGGAAAGCTGAACTTTTAACCAATATAATTTTACCACTCTTCCCCCCCCCAATGTTTACCATTCAATAATAATGCCACGTCCCTAGGGAAAGCAGTATAGTTGATCATAATAATAATTTGAGATGCCAGTCTTCCCACTCTCTAGTAAACTCTAAGTAGCTGAGAAAGTTATTATTATGGAGAATATTTAATTCAAGAATACTTGTTAATTTTCATTGTAGAGTTTTCAAAACATAATCTCTGCTGAATCCAACTAATGGTTCATCTAGATTAGGTTTTTCCATCCATTTTTGTATATAATTTGTATTAAGGATTTTGATTATAATAGTAAAAACTAATACAAACTAAACTGAAAGAGAAAAAAAGAATAGTAAGTATAAAAGCTGCAACAAAAAAGGAAGGGAAAATGATCAAGAAAAAAGAAAAATATATAAAGATTGGTTTTCATCTTTCATTAAAAGTATAGACAAAATTAGTAAATCTTCACTTCATTCCATATCACATCCCTTCTCTACAAGCAAATCCATTAAGACATCAACTTTTCAAGCAAAAAGTCTGTAAAGGATTGCAAAAACCTTGAAAAAAAGTCTTAGTTTAACATTGATTAACTTTATATTACTTTTACTTCTAAAAGTCTTAATCTTTAGTTCATTGAAATATTATCATAGGATTTGATTCTCTTTCATTCTTTACTCTAGCACAGTGGTGGCAAACCTATGGCACGGGTGCCAGAGGCGGCACTCAGAGCCCTCTTTGTGGGCACACGCACCGTTGTCCCAGTCCTAGGCCTTCAGCTGGGTTTTATAAAATCTTTTCACTTTAGGCTTCCGCCGCTGTGTGCAAAAAAAAAAAAAAAGGTTCAATAAATCAGTCAATTTCAACTTCTCACAGGAAAAAAAAATCTTGCAAAGTTGGAATTGATTGATTGAACTTTTTAGTCCCACCCAGTCTGCTGTTACCACCGCAGCCATGGCCAGCCAATGGGCCACACCCATCCAATTGGCCACACCCATCCAATGAGCCACACCCACCCGGCACCCGACGATGCATAAATGGGTTTTGGGTTGCAGTTTTGGCGCTCGGTCTCTAAAAGGTTCGCCATCACTGCTCTAGCATACAGAATTCTTCAAGGGTTTAACAAGCCTCTTTTGCTGATTCAATAATTTTTCCCTAGGTCGTTCTCTTGGTTTGTGTGTCCTCTTTAATTTTTAAAGCTTCAGTTTCTTTTGTATATCTTTTTTCCAAATCCTTGTCTTGGATTGTCATTTGTAGTTTCACTTTTGGTACTTTCTCTATCCTATCAGACAAAATTTGCTCCACATCTGTCATTCCCTCATTAACATTTTTGGAGATAATCTATCCATACAGTAGAATCTGACATCATTATTAACACTTTCGATATTGTAAATACCAATTGCTGGCTCCATTCTTCAGAGTTCTTTTTTAATATTTCTGATATTATAACACTTTGTGTCATTTTGTAGTTCCAGTAAACTGAGAGTTAATACCAAAATCTTATAGCAAAAGTCAATATTCCAAATTTAACAAGACCCATAATCCATTTGTAACTTTCTTAGATCAAAATCAGATTTGGATTTTTGCTGTTTATTTAAATTATTTGAATCTTAATCTTAATCTTGTAATTACTTTTTCACTTATTCAGTTTGAAGCTAAACTCACTCAGAGACTTTTTAGATCTGTAATTCTAATAGCTTTAAGATAGTTAATAGGCAATTTCCAAAAGTGATTAGAAAGTGAGGCTTGTAAACTTAATGTCCTTTGAAAGACTCCACTGAGATTGCAAGCATGATGGCTAATTCCTTTGTCTTCCAGCACCCAAACCCATGGAAAACTGCTATCCTACAGTCTCCTTGCAAGGAACAGTTATCTGAAGCATATGTAGTGGATCTCCTGTCTCTCCTTACCAAGAAATATTCCAAAGAACCAGTCTATTCGCCAGTTCTTTGGTCTTTGCCAGGGTTGTCAGTTCCATTATAATTCACGCTGCTCTGTGTAAACTAGTATGTCTAATTTAAAAAACTATCTTGCAAGACAATATACTATTGCCTGCAAACAAGCAAAGAAGAAGATTAGTTCTACCAGATTTCAGTACATTACATTTCACTGCTTGTTGTTTAGCTTGGATGAAAAGTGGATGTTGCTGAGAAATAGAAGGCCATTGAAATTAGAAGGACATGATCTAAAATTTGGATGGTAAGGGCATCTATGATATATTAAAGCTGGAGACCCCAACCTGCAGGCTGCTGGAGGTGAGTTGTAGGCGAGCGAGGAAATGGAAACCATCCCTCCTGGGTTCACGGTGAGTGAGCGAAACAAAAACCATCCCTACCCCCAGCCCGTGGAAAAATTATCTTCCACAAAACTGGTCTCTTTGGGGACCACTGTATTAAAGCAAGGTTAATATAGATTTTATGTCTGGTGGGCTATTCTTAGACTATGAAATAAATATAAGCCTAGATTGTGCCTGAAAATACCTTTGTGGTTCTTAGCACATGAAATGTTTTATAAATGATAAATAGTAAGTAAACATAAATGGTTATCTTATCTTGATGTATTAGAAATTTCTGAAGAGGATTGTAAAATAAAATTAAGAGTTTTTGATAACAGAAGGATATACTTGTCAATGGTTTTCTTATGACCAATTAACAGAAAGGTTTAAAGTGGATAAAAGTTTTTATGGTTTTGAACAATGCAAGTTTAGTTTGAAACAGAAGTACGTACAAATGATGAACATGTTATTGCTAAAATGTATAAACTTTTGTTGAAATATGAGATAGAAGAATAAGTAAAAATGCACTAAAAGGTTTGGCTACAATATACAAATGGACAGTGGAAAAATATGTAGTTGAAAGGATTGAAATTTACATTATATTGTAGCCTTAAAGATAATTTTTATAAAATGATGTATTGTTGGTATTTGTCATTAGAAAAATTGTCTAGAATGTATAAAGGCACTTCAAATTTTTGCTGGAAAGGTGAACAACATGAAGGGTCATTTTATCATGTATGATGGACATATAAAAAAAGTTTGGATACAAACAAATAAACTAATTCAGGAGATTTTTGAAAAACTAATGTACAATTGAAATCAAAGACTTTTCTTTTGGGATTAATGGACAGACAGCTAGAAAGAAGCCATGGAACATGAGCCAAAAATGCCTAAGTCTATGGAAATTAATAGACTCATGCACACAACAGATTTAGACTATAATCATAGTGTATATAGTCAAAAGGCAGTGGTATTTAGGCCCAGAGTGTAAATGTATAAGATTGCCTCAACTACTATTTTATATTTCCCAATAAAAGTACTGATCATGGTATATATGTGTGTTTTTGATAGTTTGCAGTTTTTCAGAGAATATTCAAACATAGCAGATGATGATGATGATGATGATGATGATGATGATGATGATGATGATGATGATGATAAAGTTGGAAGGGACCTTGGAGGTGATCTAGTCCAACCCCCTGCTCATGCATTCTTAACTTCCATTAGTTTTAAAGAGGGCACTCAAAACACAGATTTAATAAAATTATATATATAGTAACTATGTTATCTAGATATCTAACACCCAATAATTTATTGCAGTTTAAGATTATAAGCACTAGAGTGCAGCATGATTTATAAGCAAAACAACAAAACACTAGTGTTCAAACACTAAAAATATCAACATTTTAAAAAGATAAAATGGAAACAATATACACTGAAATAAACATATTTGCTTGCAATTCTCTAATTCCACATATAATATGTACAGTTTAAAACCAAGTCAGCATTCTATTAAATAATTGTTGCAAATATACAGTTCTAAATATATGAAATGTTTCTTAAACTATTAGATACTGTTTGGTTATAATAGAATTAAAGAAATAAGTTTTTTTTCAAACAAATACAAGATAAATATATTGGACAATAATGGGCATGGAAGATTAATCTGTGAAATAGTTTAATATTATTGAGCTTAAAATGTGTAAGAAAATAAACAGGCCCATTGTAACACTATTTGCTAATGTTTTTACTGGGTCAAAAATATTTATCAGATAAAAATGTTTGTGTCACTGAAGTGTATTTGAGTGGTTAAAGAAGATTGGCTACTACTTTCCAGTAAAGAAACCTGCTTCAGGGGAGCTAAATCAAGGCAAAAACTGAAGTCTAAATGATGCAGAGCATACTTTTAAAGTGTGGTTACATTATTTCGTACTGTACATCAGACAGCAAAATGTGTTGGGCCAGCACTGATTTAGAGAGTAACAAATATTAAAACATGACAAATTACAGGATGACACTGCAGTCCATTTTTCATGTTGTTTGTTTTATTAATCTATTCTATTTAGAAACATACGTGACTCATACCTGACCTCAAAGTACAGTGTGGCAACTACTGCCCTGGTGGTAGCAAACTGACTTATGATTTAATGTGATGGTTTGAGGACATACATCCCACAAATATCCGTGTGCTCTATTGACAGTAGCAAGTGTCTCTAGATGTGGCCCTTGTAACATTGTAGATATAACTAGTATAAATAGGAATAATTTAAACATGTGACACCAGGCCACTACATTTGCTGCTTTAAAAAAATCTAATTCTTTATTACAACTTGTAATAAAGTAAGATAGAATCCTTGTGGAAGTTGTAATAAAAAAAAGCTTGCCAATATTAAAATGTCACTATTGTCAGTATAGAAGGTTTTGGATGATTTTATTATGCTGATCATCTATAGGCTCACACTTTGTCTTTTATTTAAAAGAAAAGAACTGTATTTGTGCTACTATCTACAGCCACATGACTCTACCACCATGTCTTCATATTGTTTATAAACTACATTATTAGCTGAATCAGTAAACAAAATGCTAATAGGGCTCAGCCTTGTTGGAACACAACAAGTGGGAGGTGTTGATTCTGGATCCATCGAGTTCATTAATGTTTGGATAACTGCATGATTGGTGGGTTCTAGATGAGACCGAAGAGGAAATTCACAAAGTCCTTCACAATGATATGCTTCATATTCAAGAGGAGCTATTATCCAGTCATCCCAACCCATATCCTTAAAATTCACATGGAGTAGTTTTCTGCTACACTTTGCCTTCAAATTTTTGTTTGGTCGTTTTCCTTGTCGAGTTGCTAGAGGAGCCCTTCTCTTTCTTCTTTGACTGAATAGGTATTCATAAACAGTTTTGTCATCTTGACCAGATCTGGCTTTTATTTCATTGAAAAACAAGTCTCTTTTCTTTGTTCTACCAAATACTAAAAAAAGAGCCTTTTCATTGACTTGCCTTCCTGTTCTATTAAATCCCACAATCCTTAAATCAACAGGCTTCCCCTTTTCAAAAGCCTCCAGTTCAAAACACAAGTTATTAAAGTTTTTAAAGTTCCTAAACACTTTCCAAATGTCAAACACTTCCCATTTTGCTGTATCTATGATGTTGACTGTTCGAGACTCCAAGACAATGGATGCTTGCCTGCTTGTAGAGCAACTGGATAGCTTCACTTGGTAAGTTTTCTCAGGAGAATAAGGTTTCCAGGTATCAGCTTTTTTTCTTAAAATCCGCAATTCTGCCCCTAGTAAACCATCTTTCTCTAGTGCGCTGATGTCAAAAATGTATTTTTGCTTTTTAATTGGAGCTTGATCATCTAAAGAGAAAAACAGAGAGAGGTTCAAATATTTCTGAATAGAAATGTGTACTACTGTTTAGTTTCTCCTAGCACATGTGCATAATGAGTTTGGGATTAATAAAATGGCTTTATGGCACTGTTAGAAGTTAATATCACATGGAGATATAGTGGACCAATTCTTCAACGTTTCAGAGAAGACACTACATGTAACCTAATTAGAACTTAAATTCCAATAAAATACATTTGAACCTGAATTTCAGATTAAAACTTTGTGCCTAGATGTTCTTTTTGTTGTAGTAATATATCATGGAAAGCATATAAACATATGTGGCTATGTAGTGGTTATATTTTAAGATAGAAAGCACAGAGCATATGCTTGTGAATGATATTTTTAGTAACTGTTTTCCTTCAAAGACACTTGCCAGGAAGAGAAGTTTAAGCTTAATGAATAATGATATATATTGGATTTAAACATTCAACTTGGAATTTCATTCAGACAAAACTCTTTCTCTTTTGAGTATATTTACAGATAATAGATATGTTTCTCTATCATGAGTTACAGTCCTGAGTTGTACACATTACTCATTTCAAGAGTACTTGTAGAAGAAAAATCAGTTACCAACATGGGAATTAAAGAAAATTCACAGATTGCTGTGGGGCCTATGAGGAGCTAAAAAAAATGTAGATAACCTCCTTTGATCTTATAGTCTTTTTATTGCAGGAATATTAAGCCTCCTGCTTAATTTGTAATATTAAATCTGAATTAAAATTATATCTGAATTAGTTTCATTCTAACGAATTAGAAATATCCAGACAGTCCCTCTGTGCTAATCTGTTTTTTTCTGAAATAGAAATAGATAACAGGAACAGATTATTCAGCTCTTATTCTATCAGATATGTAGTATTGTGTTATAAAGTGATGGCAATGTTTTAAGCAGAAAAGAAAAACATATCACAATACATTCTGAAAATTAGTATTTACCTTAATACAAATATCAAAAGCTGACACTAGAAATGCTCTTAAAAGTATCCATTTAGGATGAAAACATCTGTGATTAGCAAGGTTTTGTCTCTTTCTGCAAATAGATGGATTTTCTTACCTTGTCCCTTGTCTAGGAAGCTTGTAATTGTATTGGCAAGTCCCATCTCCAGTTTTAGACTTCCATTTATATCTTTCCGTTCTGCATCAGAAAGAGTTTGGTATAAGGCAAGCATATATTCATGTGGTGTGACAGCAGGATGTCTGAATGCCTCTTTAGATTCCCTTTGGGTAATAGGTTCTTTGATTGTTTTGGTTTTGTAGGAACTATCTGAATTTCCTGTGCCAGATTTTTTCACTGGGGCTTTAGAGCCAAAATTCTGAGCCTTTGGAGTCACCGTCCTTATTCCTTGTTGTCTATTTGAAGTAAGTCCGTCATGTTTTTCTGTATTCCTTGCTTTAGACAGAGTCTTCTTTGAATTGTCAGTCTTTGCCAAGACACCTCCAGCTTGAGCAATATTGCTTCTTGTTCTAGACTTGGAATTGCCAGCATTATATTCATGGCTCCCTGTTCTAAAAATGCCCGTCCTTGGCAACGGGTGCCTCTCTTTTCCATCTACTTTAGACAATCCTAATTTCAACCCTAGGTTACCTTGACTTGCTTCAGCAGGATTCAATATTAAGGAAATGAAAACCAGATAAAACCAACTGAAGTGCCAAAGCAGTATAGAAAGAAAGTACAGGATTTTCATCCTCTGGTCTTCCTTTGAATGCCACCAAATAAAAAATTTAAAAAGGTTCCTCTGGTTTGGCATAAAAAATAAAATAGATTAAAAGGCAAGAGGAAAAAGAGCTTTATTTTCAATATACAGAATTTCAAATCAGTTTGTGTAATATCTGTATCCAGTCCCATAGTGGAAATACTAATATGTTCAATTTGCTGTCTCCTGATTTCTGCCAGCAGTTTATTCCTAAAAAGAGAAAGTTAACCAACCCCTTTTCTTCCTTAAAAATGACTAAAAACTTGAAGGACTCTTGTTTAAATCTGAGAGGAATTTTTTTTTTTCCAAGAAGGAAGAATGGCGTAATGCTGCCTCTGTGTTAAAAGTTTTTTTTAAAAAAAGTTTTGAATCCCTTCCAGTGAAAATATTTCACACACAGAAACCTGCAGGTGCTTAGAAATCTTTTACAAACTTGAACACAGGAATTGGAAGTGGAATTCCAACAAAAACCTATTTAATTACTCTCTGATGTCATGCTGTCTAAACTAATTTAAGTGTGATATATTTCTTTTAAAAAGTCTTCTTTGCTTTATGAGTCATACTCAGCTTTATGTTAAACAACTCAGTAGGGTTAAAAGTGTAGAAGAATATGGACCTAAAAGTGGTAACGTGTTCTGTATTATTAGCCTTAAGTGAACTCTTCATTTAAAACCAAACAACATCACCTAAGATAGTCATAAGATTCTTTTACAAAAACAGGTCAAAATAAATTTGTAGTATGCTTTAATTACATATGCATTGTATTTATTTATTTAATTTTTATTCCGCCCTTCTCCTTACGGACTCAGGGCGGCTGACAGCCTTATAAAACAGATACAACAATAAAATACCCAGTTTAAAACCTAATTTAAAAAGAAATATTTACTGTGGCCTATGTCAATTAAACATGGAATCTCTGCTTTATTAGCAGGTGACTGAAAGAAAACAAACGTGATAGCAAAGCTATTGCTTAAAAATGATTTTTTAAACATTATGAATTACTGAAAATAAGAAAATAAGAAATTATGAACAATCCTACTTGATGTCTGAGAAGAAAATATTTTCTTATATTGCATTTTAGGCTTCATTATTTAACTTCTTCTCTTTGTAAAGCCCCTGAATATCCAATGTTAAAGCAGCAGTGTCCCCTGCAGGAATTTGGAGCCATATGAAGTTAAAGCACCAAATAATCTCAGTTATTCAACATTTAACAACTAAATTCTGATCAGTTTTTTGAAATAAAATTCTTTACCGATCCATATCTCTGTAATTCTGATAATGAATCACCTTAGTCATCTTAGACTTTTTTAGAGTGTAGAAATATGCAAACTTCACATGTCATTATATTTTGCATGAAAAAGAGCATCATGAATGCTTAATTAAAAATATAAAAATTGAGCTTCTTGAGGGATTCTGTTATATAACTTGAATGTGTGAGGATGATATAAAGAACTTCTTGTACTTTTGCAAATATTCTTTTTTTAAAAGTTTTTATTGGTTTTTTTCATACAATTCAGTAGTGCTTGTTCAACAAACGTGTTATCTGAGTTTATCATTCACTAATACAGATTTAATTCCAAATCCCTTATTCTTTTCTGCAGCCATTGATAAAATAAGTCCCAAGTTTGACAGTATTCTGTTTCTTCTTTTTCTTTCAACCTCAGAGTAAGTCTGTTCATTTCTGCACAATCTAGTACAGTGATGGCAAACCTTTTAGACACCGAGTGCCCCAAAACCGCTCCGCCCCCTGCCCCACCCCCTCTGCTCTGCCCCCTGCCCTGCCTACTCCACCCTGCCTCCTGCCCCACCCACTCTGCCCCACTCCCACCCCGGCAGGGCCACCTACCACCTCCACTGCCCACTGCGGCAGATTGCCCAGGCAGCCCTGCAGCACCATGGCAGCCACGCAGATGATGCTGCGGGGCGCAGGGTCAGAGTCTTGTACCTGCTGTCCAGCTGCCATGTCCTTGGCTGCGCTGCTCCGCATGGGCCACAACTGAGGGCGACTCCTTGGTGGGGCTGCTGGTGAGGAGGGGACCGTGGGGGGAGGCGGGGCTGGGGCGACGCCACGCTTGCCCACAGAGAGGGCTCTGAGTGCTGCCTCTGGCACATGTGCCATAGGTTCACCACCACTGATCTAGTATTTTTTAATTACCGTATTTTTCGCTCTATAAGACGCACTTTTTCCCCAAAAAAAGATGGGGGAAAATGTCTGTGCGTCTTATGGAGCGAATGCCGCCTCCCTTCCGCGCTGCCGCCGCCGCCTCCCGAACGCCCC